TTTCATCTCTTGTGACTGTATGTAACAAATAACATTTACTACAAAATCTTCGATTTACTTCCCAGTATATTTTAGTACTCTTCTCATTACAATAATAACACTTGTAACTTAATAAAAGTTTAATATATTTCATTTCTAAATAAAATGAAATTGTATAAAATCAATACATAATTTAAACTAATACCTTAACAAATTTTTCTGTTACCTGTTAAACCAATAGGTGAATCTAATTTTCTAATTGGTATAAATTTATTTCTGGAATATTTCCATATATTTTGATTTGTTTTATTTGATAATAAATGATAAAAATAACGACATGTATATGATATAAAAAATAAATGTATCAGTGTTAAATCCTCAAAGATAATAATTAATATTTCTAAATGTAATTGTAATAAATTCATTTTATATTATAAAAACATCAATAATATTCAATCCTTATATATAAAATTATACATTAATAATTAAAATTAAACATCCATTTCACTTTCACTATCCACTCCATTATTATTATTTTCATCATCACTTTCATTAATAATTATATAATTTTCCTGTTCATTACTACTATCTACATCCATCATTTCATTTTCATTATTTTCTATTTCGTTAATAATATTTTCACATTCTTCTCGATAATCACAAAGATTTCGACATATTGGATAATCACGAATATATTTTTTCATATATTCTGGAAATTTTCTTCGCCAATAAACATGACCATCTTTAATTATATGTTCACCATCTTTATTTTTTGTAAATTTTTCTCCTTTTTCAATAATTTCCTTAATAGTATATTTACCTCTTCTATATTTAACATCCCATTCCATCGATCTAAATTCTTCTTCACTACGCCATGTAATTCCTTCCAATGATGATTTCTTAAATGAAATTTTAGTAGTTCTTTTCATAATATTATCATCCCAACATCCTTCAAATTCAACTACAAAATCTAACCTTCTTGCAAATTGTCTAAAATCTCGTTTGTTAGAATCATCATCTCCATCTCGATATCCAAAATTATATGCTTCTTCAGGAGGTTTGGTACTTGTCATAAATATATATTTGGCAATTAATGTTTCAAACCCACCATATTTTTCTTGGATCTTACATAGACTATCATTTAATAAATTCACCACACTATTCTATTCAATCTTCATATAAAACTCATCTAAAAAAACAATATCTTCTCCTTCATAATCATTCCACCAACTAGAACCAGATCTCATTTTTTTAGATTTTTCATAATATTCTTCTCCAAACAATTCTTGAACCAAACCTGTTTTGCCACTACCACCAGGTCCATAAAAATAAAATACTAACGGATGCCAAAATCTGTGACCTCTATCTAATTTTAAATATTTTTTTCGTGCATTCTCAATCATTAATGCTCCTTTTGCATTCTGAAACCATGTTGTAGGCATATCTTTTGGATTCAATATAAGTTCCTTGAATGTTATATCATCATCTCGAATTCGTTTTAATCGTCTATTATCTTCAACGATAGTTTCCATCTTTTCCCTTATCAATTCTACAATTTTCATATCTTTAATATCATCATCTTCTTCATTATCATCTTTACCTCCCAATTCACGAAAATTTCCATATTCAAACGGTCCTAAAAATCTTGTCATCGTTCTAACCGGACATTCTTCATCACAAACATTACATACATGTTCAACATTATTATAATCACACCTACATTTTTTTTTCTTATGTTTCTCACATCTATTATATTCTTTCGATGCATATAATTTATTAGAATACATATTACCTCTCATGATATCTGGAAAAG